CCCCTTCAAATCAAGATTTGCCCCACTTCACATCAGAGTCACCCTTTGCATCAGTAGCCCCCATTCACATCAGTAGCCCCCCTTCACATCAGTAGTCCAACTTTCACATCAGAAGCCCCCTTCACATCAGAGTCACCCTTTGCATCAATAGCCCCCCTTCACATCAGTAGTCCCCTTCACACCAGTAGCCCAACTTTCACATCAGTAGCCCCACTTTCATATCCCTCCCATCCCCTAACATCCTTTTACATAATTGTTCCCCTTTTACATCAGGAGCCGCCTTTACATCAGTCTTCATACCCCCTCCCCATCACAGTCCCACTACCACAAAATTTCAAGGCACCCCTGAGGAGGCCAGGAGGCACACCAGTGTTCCATGGCACCCTGGCTGAGACAGTATGCTCTAATAGGAAACAGATGGCAAATCAACCTGATAAGGTTTTTTAAAAAGTTTTTGTTATATTTGGGGGGCTTTTACATGTGATTGACTGTTAGGCCTCATTCACACGAGAAAAGGCCGGCACATACAGCTCCGTGCTGCGTGCAGGGCCGTATTGGGCAGCTCCCGGGAAGGACAGGTGATGTGTGTGATTAGTACGCAGGCCCTGTCCTTCTCTATGGAAGTACGCGGCCATACGCTCACCCGCCCTGCACGTCCGTGCGGGTGTCCATGGATCCTGCCTGCATCCGAGCCGGGACACCCGCACCCGTACGGACCTGCACTTGGGGTGAGCCTTGGGCGGCGTATGGCCGCATACTCCCACAGAGCAGGACAGGGGCTGTGTACTAATCACACGCAGCACCTGTCCTTCCCGGGAGCTGCCCGATACGGCCCTGCACGCAGCACGGAGCTGTACATGCCGGCCTTTTCTAGTGTGAATGAGGCTTTAGAATCACGGGAACTCTGTAAATAGTTTTCATGATTTTATTTTTATTACAGAAAGGGCTACTATGGTAAAAGTAGAACTGAAGCCCAAACATTTTTTCCCCCAGTATTGGATAGAGTAAGGGAGGGTTATAACCCATGTCAGTTTTTTTTACATCCTGTCCAAAAGTCAAAACAGGAAACGGGAGGAAATCCCTGGTCTCACCAGAACTAGTGTCTCAATTGGACAATTTCCTATATAATCCGGTTCTGATGACAACCCAAAAATGTAGGATTTTCTATAATTTTCAGTGACAATGGTCACCAGGACAAATAGAAAGGGTGAATCTCCCCAATGGGGACATAGACAGCCTTAAAAACCTTTGGCTTCAGTTGCACTTTAAGTTGGGCTTATGTTATATACCAGCCTAGATGTCAATATCTTTTAGCAGTGTCACTTCAGGGCTGGTTCACACCTAGGCGACACCTCACCGGCAATCGTGTAGAATTCTGCACAGATTGCCGCGCGTTCAGGAGTCGCCTAGGTGTGGGTGCCATTATTTTCTAATGGCACCCCAGTCGTGCCGGGCGAATTGCACAGTTCCTCCGGTTTTTCCTAAAACAGCCACGCATTGTGTATCGCAAAAAAAGGTACATGTATCTTTTTTCTGCGATTGCCGCACGGATGTCACCCCATTGAAATCATTGCATTGTGCAGGACCGCGTGATCCCGGGACGCGCGATCCCAGATCACGTAGGTCTGCACCAGGCCTTAAAGACAAATTCCAGTCAGACTGCCTCCCTCACAGTATATGCCTGCCAAAGAATTGCAATTTTGTCCAGCCAGTCTTGTGATCCAGGTACCCCTGCTTTGGCGTCAAGTGAATTGCTTGGCCAGCTGCTGATCTAGCAATGAAGGAGAAGGAGTACACCATTGAGGTCAGTGCTGGGTTCTCCCCTTCTGTAAGCACGTTCACAGCTTAGACTGACAGTTCTGTGCAAGGCCACAGAGCCCTAATTATCTCAGGGGGCTATTCCTGCCTCTGCCGGGGAGCTGCTTATCAGTCTCTAATATAATAAGAAAATGAAACAGATTTGCCTGCGGCAGGCTGCATGGGGCCCTCTTTTTTTTTTTTTCCACAGCAAAGGAAACAGCTTGTATGCCGGTTTCAGACACCGAGAAAAGATTGCAAATGAGAAAAGACAATCAAAAATTAATGAACTTTCTGGAAAAATACTAAAATAAATTACAAGTAAGGCCTCATTCACACGAGAAATGGGTGGCCCGTACAGCTCCATGCTGCGTGTGATTATACGCAGCCCCTGTCCTTCTCTATGGGAGTACGCGGCTGTACGCTCACCTGACCTGCACGTCCACACGGGTGGGGGTGTCCCTGCTCGGACGCAGACAGGATCCATCCCGCCAGCGTACGAGTACGGACACCTGCATCTATCCATCCTGTCAGTGTATGATTACGAACACCCGCACCGGCAGGTCGGGTGACCGTAGGGGGGTGTATGGTCGCGTACTTCCATTGAGAAAGACAGGCTGCTGCATATAATCACACGCAGCACCTGTCCTTCCCGCGAGCTGCCCGATATGGCCGCACACGCAGCACGGAGCTGTACGGGCCGGCCGTTAGCCGCGTGAATGAGGCCTAACAACTAAGGGTGGGACAAGCTGGAAGTTTTTGTTTTGATGAAATTTCAGCTAAATCAGGATCATTTTGGCAAACGACATTGGAGCCAATAGGAAGGGTGACATTAAGGTGGTTTTTGATTAGGTGCAATGAGCTTTTAATGGCTTTGATGGAGTATGGAAGCTCCATTCTAGACATGAGCAGGGCAAAAAAATTCTGACAAAACAAATAAAAATGAAAAACATTTTCATTTGTTTCATCAAAGGAAACACATTTTTATGCTGTTTCGGATTTGGAGCCTCCGAATCTATGGTTGCCACCTGTCCAGGATTCACCCAGACAGTTCGGGTTTGGAATGCTGTGTCCGGGTTTCATGGCAGCAGAAACCCGGACACAAGATATCAGGCAGACAGGGGCAACCAAAATTAAGATAGGGGCTACTGTACCCAGTGGCGTCACAAGGGGGGTGCCACCATTGGAGGGGTGACACCAATATGACTGACAGAGCCCGCACTCCACTGAGAGCCCGACAGTGTCAGGAGAGGGGAGTGGACCCGGCAGCATACCTTATCCCACCGGGTGAACGTCCCCTTCTCTCTCTGCCGGCGTACATCACCAAGATGGCCGCCGGGAGGCGTCAAAAAGACCACTGCGCATGCGCGATGACGCCACGGCGGGGTTTCACCCGGTCCCTGCCCCCAGGTGACATCCACCCTCGGGTCGCCACTGACTGGCCCCCACTGAAAATAGTCTCAACTGTGATATTTACATATGAATGGGCGGAGCTATTTACATATGAATAAGCCACCACTCATTCTCCCCAAAAAATGTCCGCGCGTTGCTTGAATGTTCGGGTTTTGCTTGAAGAAAAGGTGGCAACCCTATCCGAATCCGAAACCGCGCAATGAGACTGCAGAAGGAGCGGTGGCCTTATCGGCCTGCACATTTGCGCCGCTATCTTGGAGTGTATCTTGGTATACACCAAGGGGGATGTAAAAGAGCATTCATATAAATCTTCAGTAGGCAGCCACAACCTGCTGGTGGCTTGAATGTTGTGGATCATGTTCACTCACAATGTCACACTGCTCCTCACTGGCCTTTACCCAACCTCTCAATTGGCTCAACACACTGAAAGGGCCTACTTTTAAAGGAGAACTATGGGGTTAAGGCTTTTCCCCATAGTTCTCCTTAGGGTAACGGGAGGACACAAACTAGCGTCCTCCCGTCACCCTAGGCTCAGTATACCGCGAGCTGCTGCTCGCGGTATACTGAGACGCCGCAGCTGAAGCGGATCCCGACAATTATGCCGGGATCCGCCCAGCTGCGTGACTGACAGCTGGCTCTGCCTATCTAGAGGCAGAGCCAGCTGTACCCGCCCCCTCCCCCGTCCGTTCCGCCAGTCAGCGCTGGAGGATCGGAGCGGGGAGGAGGGAATCCAGCCCCTCCCCTGTCACGGCAGAGAGCTGTGACAGGATCGAGAGGTGAGCAAACGTCGGTATGTGTTTGCTCACCTCCCGATCTACTGAGCCGACCTGTGACAGTCTCATTGTCACAGGTCGGCTAGAACTATGAGGTTAGTGAAAAGCACTCACCTCATAGTTCTCCTTTAATCGCCACTTGTGGAGTGTAAAGATTGACTCCCAAGTGACTCCTTGTCCTGTCTTTGAGAAAACAGCTTTGTTTCCTGGAATATAAATAACATATATAGGACTAGTTATACAAATACAGTCTGAGGACATTCATGTATTTATATAATAACAAGTTGTAACGTAACAGCTTTACTGATCTGTGCAGCTGCAGGCAAGGTGGAGCAATTCATTCTTAAACATCTTCAAATTGTTCACTCACTAAGGTCCTTCTAGCTTAGCACTTCTCTCGGCAGCTAAGCTCACCGTGCTCCCCACCCCTATCAATGACTAAGCATCCCAGCTTCTCCTACTTTCTACCTCCAACAGTCACTTAGAAACCTTCCAGCTTTATAACCTCCTGATATAAATACGGAGCAGAAGCTTTGGGAGGATGGAGCAGGGTGAGCTGAGCTGATGAGAGAACAACTAAAACAGCTTCAGTGCTTTTGCTGTCAACTGTGATGATGAATTCCTCCACAGTATCTGCAGCAACAGAGGCCAGGGAGACATTGGGGTCTATTCACAAAGCTGCCGAAGGATCTGGCCGTAGCTTCGGCCGATCCTTCGGCTAGCTTCGGCCCCAGGACCCCTTCGGTTCAGGAGAACCGAGGGGGTGCTGTACGGGTTATTCACAATAGCCCGTACAGCTCCCGATCACAGCCGAGCGGCTCAGTCGAGCCGATCGCATATGCCTCGGCTCGGCTGAGCCGTGCTGAAAGCCGAAGCTGGCCGAGCGGCCGGCCATTGGCCGGCTGACAGCCTGCTTCTCACAGCTGGGCAAAGCCAGCCGTGATCTTACAGCTGGCTCCGGCCACTTTCAGAGAGATCAGCGTCCAGCTCAATGACTGCTTGTTAAGTATCACGTACCTTGGTGTGAGCCTGAAGTGACGAAGAAGGCCTCCCCTTGCCACTCTCGTCTGAGCCCCACTGGAGATGAGACAGCAGTTGAACAGACATAGAAGGGCACGAGTGCTTGTGCCTGATATGAGTGCTTGACATACTGGAGATGATGGTGCTGACAACTGGATGCCGGAGGTAGCTGGTGGCTGATAGCAGGCCAGGCAGTACTGACGTGAGAAGCTGAAGCAAAGTCAGGAATAAGACAGATCGGTAACGTGCGGTCAGCGTGGTACAGAAGCAGAAAGGAGGAGCGATGTCAAGAGCAGGCCCGGGTCATACACTTGCGAGCAGAATGGTACCAAATCAGAAGACGGAGGGGAGGTCAGAAGACAAGCCGAGGTCCCAATGCAGGCAGCAAGCAGGCAGAGTCAGGAATCAAGCTGGGTCAGACAGGTATCAAACACAGGATCAGGAATCAGGATCAGGACTACAGCTGAAGATTTCTCAGCATGTTGCAGATGCAGAAGCCATCCTTAAATAGCACGCCTGGCGCCAAGAACAGGCGTGCGCACGATATTGCGTGTGCATGTGCGCATCGGTTTCGTGCATACACATTATTAGCACCGTAGTGCAGAATACGCACATGCGCATTGGCTCGTGCAGCGATCCGGGCAGAAGCTTTACTATGGGTGCTGACTGATGCTCCCTGACATTAATTAATTATTATTATTACTATACAGAATTTATATAGCACCAACAGTTTGAACAGCACTTCACAATATAAGGAAGACATTACATTTACAATACAAATCAAGACAAGATGGTAAGGTAAGCCCTGCCTGTGAGAGCTTACAATCTAAATAATTGAATGTCTATAGTCTAACCATGAATTCACTTTAATATTGCAGGGAGTTATAACGTGTGGAGTGACTGCATATACCCCACAGCTTTTATTGCCCCCTCTAGGTCCTCACGCCAGGTTGTTCTGAACAGACAAAGCTTCGACACTACAGTGGCAAAAACGAAAGTGCATGGCTCCCTACCAGGTATGCATTAGTTCACACACATGTCTGCTGAGTATGACATCATGTTGTATGAGACTGAGGATAAAAGCATTATTAAAAGTTCCATACTCCATGGGGAATTATTAGCACTTTATTGATAGGACCGTTATACCTTGTAGTACATCAAAACAACTGCTTACACAAGCCAGATGAGACTAATCTCCCATTTGCAAATCTCCAAGCAGAAACATACGGGTCTATTCACTAAGCTGCCGAGGGCAGCCGAGTGAACAACCGACCCCAAGTGAAGTGAGCCGAACACTGTTCGGCTATTCACTTCAGGCTGGTACGGCTGATTACAGCCGTACATCGGCTGAAATCAGCCGTACATCGGCTTGCTTCACGTGGCTTCGGGTCGGCCGAACATGCTCAGCATGTTCGGCCGACCTGAAGTGCAGAAGAAGTTTGACTCAGCCGATCCAACATCTGGATCGGCTGAGCCGAACCTCCGGCAGGCTACTCACTGCTGTTCGGCCTATTCTTATAGATGCCGAACAGCAGTGAGTGAATAGCCGAATGCCACCGAGCGGCATTCGGCTCGGCTGTTCTGCTCGGTCCCTCAGAGGGAGTTTTTTTTTTCTATTCTGACATCGCTCTGTATCAGAATAAAGAAAAAACATATGGATCAGCCGAGCCGATGCATATGCGTTTGGCTTGACTGAGCCGTTCAGCCACGTTCGGGAGCTGTGCGGGCTATTGTGAATGGGGCCGAAGCTAGCCGAAGGATCGGACGAAGCTACGGCTAATTTAAATCCAAGAAAAGGTTCTACACATGACATAAGTAATCGGAAAAGGTTATTATGAATTCATACAGCTATAGCAGTCCAGCTAATGCATTTCATCCATAACGGTCTCATACATAGCCAAGATTAAGGCCATTATGGGTGTATTTTTATGGAGCTTTTTGCATGAATTCCTAATAAACTTTTCTGATGACTTATGCCATATGTACAATCTTTCCTTGGACTATTACATTGTATCAGGGTGCAGAGGAACCTTGGGCTTGGCACTGGTGATCCTTATCAGCTGCAATAAGATGTGGAGGCAGAGCGATAATATACTGTATGTCTTTCCTTTGAATTCACTTAGGGGGTCTATTCACTAAGCTGCCGAAGGATCTAGCCGTAGCTTCGGCTGATCCTGCGGCTAGCTTCGGCCTCAGGACCCCTTTGGTTTAGTAGAACTGAAGGGCTGCTGTACGGGCTATTCACTATAGCCCGTACAGCTCCTGAAGTTGGCCGAGCGGCTCAGTCGAGCCGAAGGCATATGCCTCGGCTCGACTGAGCCGAGGTGAAAGCCAAAGCTGGCCAAACGGCCGGCCATTGGCTGGCCGACCGCCCGCCACTGACAGCTGGGGGGTGCCAGCCGTCCTCTCATGGCTGGCTCCGGCTACTTGCAGAGACAGATTAGCGTCCCTGGTTACCGGGTAACCAGGGAAGCTGATCTGTCATTACTCTCCCGGACGCTCTGCGAGTCTCCAGCTATTGGATAGCGGCTCCCGGCCGCCCGGGAGAGAAACACTTTCTCCCGGAAAGGGTTACTCTGCTCGATCGAGCAGAGTAAACGTTTCCTTGCAATCTGGTTTTTTTTCTGACTGTCAAAAACCATGTAAAAAAAAAAACCCACCGTAGGAATGCATAGCTAGATTCCTATTGGGTATTTCACTTTGCAATAGCCAATATGAATCTAGCTATGCATTCCTATGGTGGCTTTTTTAAAATTTTTATTCTGACAGCAGCAGAACCGCGCGGCCAATAGAAAATAGTTGGGCGGAGCTAGCTGTCACTGCTAGCTCCGCCCAATCGTTTTCTATTTTTGTTCTACTTTTTTAAACTATTTTTCTATTCTGCTCGGTACCACAGAGGTACCGAGCAGAATAGCCGAGCAGAATGCTTGTCATGTAACAGGCAGTGGCGAAGCTACCACCATAGCGACCGATGCGGTCGCTATGGGGCCCGCGGCACTGGGGAGGCCCGAATCCCCTCTTCTCTCCCCCCGCTTCTATGGGTTGAGGCAAAGCATGTGATTTACATCACCTCCTGTTCATTCATGAATTTCTCAATGGGGAGAAGCACTCAGTACAGAGGCTCCTCCCCATTGAGAATCTGCTTGATAGTAAATATCTTACTATCAGCAGTTTGTGAATGAATAGGAAGAGCCTCTGTACTGAGTGCTTCCCATTCACTGAGTGCTGGGGCTGCAGAAAAAGACATTGAGGACTCTGTGTCCTCAATGTCTTTTTCTATTTCAAAAGGGAAATGTCAGGGGTCTGTTTAGACCCCAGATATTTCACCGCAGCCCCCCCAATAGTAAAATAATAATAAATAATAATTACAAAATTAATTCAAAATGTGTAAATAAAATAAAAAAGCACAACCCCCCTCCCCCACACACACACATAACATACACGTGCACCATATTATGGTGTACGCCAGGCACATGCGCTGCAGTGCATTATTTTTTTCTTTTGTAAAAAAACATTAATTTAACTGTGGCAGCGCATGACAAAGCTTTGTGATGCATTGCCATGCGTTGTGATACCTTGTGTTGTAATTAAATATACGCCTGTATCATTTTATCACAACACAAGCACCAACACAGCGCAAAAACCATTTATAACATAAATCGCTTATTTACAGTTTAAAATTGTTTTTTTTAATTTTTTTTTATAATCCCCCTTTCCTCAGCCTCTCTTAAGTGTTAGGCCTCATTCAGGCGCCATTAACACCAGGGCAGAAGCGTTTCACCGTGCTTTCCGTACGATATTTGAAAAAGCATTTTTGGCTGTTTTTAGTCGCGTTTCAGCGCTGAAACGCAATTAAAAACGCTCAAAAACGTGCTGATCAGCGTATGTCTATTAAAATGGGGGGCAGGCGGGCCTTAAAATGTTTTGCTATGGGGCCCTGGGATTTCTAGTTACGCCCCTGGTAACAGGGCATCGTTTTTCCAACTCACTCTGTAGTTGTGGTCCTGCCGATTCTCTGCATATGATGGAGGGGTGTCCGAAACACTTTATTGGAAAATAATTGTAGCCACCATTAGTAACGCCTTTCACACCATGATTCCCATAAATGCTTATTAGACTCTCTATAGGAGGAATAATTCCCCTCCATCTGCTTTTCCCAGTTATTAGACTCCTATTTTGGGCACAAAAATTGAGAGCCCAAAAATTGTTTTCTTTTAACTTGCCAAACTTTATTAAGGGGTGAACCAAGTCAACCTCACCTTACTTAGAGAAATAATTGTTTATCAACATAGGGGATGGCCACATAATATTTATTAAGCTCAGGGATCCATGGTTGTTGTTCCCAGGCTTAGCACACATGACCTTGATTACAACATGACAACTAATAATGACCCAGGTTCAGCATAGTTATATTCATAATACCAGACTATACAGTAAAATCCAACCACTATGGCACTTAATACATGAATATTTTCCTGATTAACACTTATCAGCACTGTGTAACGCTTGTACGCTATATTTTTTGTGTATCCCAATCTAAACCCCCTGAAAATATACCCGTTTCCATTGTCTGCCATACAAAATATCTGACTGATTTCTATACTCCCTATGTGATTTGAGAACAAGATCCACAATGTATATTACAGTGAAAAAATATGACTGAAAAAATTGTGTACCCAATAACTGGTCAAACGTGTCGCTAAGTACGATGAGGATGATGACTAATGGTACAGAGTTGAGATCGTTGGATTACCCAGTTCTCAAAATGTTGACATTATTTAGATTTTTTCACTGTTTCTGTGTCCGTAACATTAATTGCTCACATGGTGTTGTTATCCATCTGTTGTTTTATATTGTGCTAATTAACTAACCTATGTTTGCAAGGGGAGCGCCTGGATGGATTGCTATGTTTTTGGTTTTGTAAATGTTTAATGTGTATTTGTAAAAAACACAATAAAAAACTTGATTAAAAATAAAAAACTTGATTTTCTGTGCAATTTATGTTGGTGACAGAGTCTCTTTAAAGGTTAAAGGTTTCAGTCATGTCCCCCCTTTCTCTTCTTGCAGCTGCACATATTAGGTTCTTTCAGTCTCTTCCAATATGTATTATCCCTCAGACAATTTTTGTT